CACATACCTGTAGTTTTCAAGTAAGCCAGAAGATCATGTGTGTTTAAGGGTTTAAGCTAAACTCTGCAGGGCTATTGGCCTCCAGGAGTTTGACACCCCTGTTCTATGGGAAGCTGAGAACGTACTCCCAACTTCACAATTGACCAAATCAGATTTGAGGTAAACTCATCAAGGGAACTTTGATACAGCCAAGCTCAATGCCACGGATTAACCCGCTTGATCTGCAGTACTGTTCTGTTCTTGTGAAAAATCTAGTGCGCTTTCCACAATAAAGGAATGAGCGTAGCCAGTATCCCGCAAGATAGTAATTAAAATGTTCCTACTCACCGGAAAGAGATACCGAACCATTCATAATAAGTGGGCTGTATAAATTTGTATGCGAATTAATAGAATTAACCGCAGAGGGAGCAGTATGAACTAAAGCAACTCCCTTTGGTTTCTCAGGGAGCTTACTCTGATTCCAGCACTTACAATCGGCAATCAAATGTCCTGGCTTGCGACAGAAAAAACATGCGCCTCTGTCCCTCGCGAGCCACATTTGTATTATGAAACCCATTAAAGGCTGCCTCTCTATTCTCCCGTTTTCCCTATAAGCCTCAGGTACTTATCACCAGGTACTTATTCGTATGCTCAAAACAGCAGCTTTAACTGTCTCATATAAAACTTTGATCGATACACACTTCCTGAGCCTTACCCACTAATTTACGTTGCAAAACAATGACCACAACTCTTTTAGCCAAAATAATGTAGCTGCTATGCGCTTGAAAGCGACAAAATAAGAGTCTACCTCCGTCACTCTGAAAGGGAACAAGGGTAACATTTACTCATCAAAGCTGGTCACAGATGCACCAACACAGGAGCAAGTAGTGGGTGGCGGACTTTGATTCTGTGCCGATGAAACTGACATTCAATGGTGAACAAGGAGATGGAGGAATTTATTATCAGCTTCTAACTCCAAAGTCTGATATTGAAGATGCTGCGTGTTGTAATCCTGTTTCTTTAACTGCAGATCCAACTCCTTCAATTTCATAAAAGGTTCTGTAGCAATGTACAGTATTTAGCCCTATTCAGATGGGAATATCTGAACAATATTGTTTTCTAAACAATATTTGAGTTTAAAAAAAAAATATCTGTGATTTCATTTACCGATTAAGAGGGGACTAACATCTCCGTGTTTATTACAGAGGTGGGAATGTTTTCAGGTAGGTAATGGCTAAGTGCAACAGACATCTTGTATTCACCACTGTAAAAAATAACATTACATTAAACTGACTTAAAAAAAATAAGTTGAATCTTTTATAACTTATCAGAATAAGTTAAGCAACTTTCAACTTTTTTCATGAGTTAAAGCAATGTAAAAATATGTTGTAGACAACTTATTTATCATATTTTTTTTACAGTGCATTGTAACAGATTTTTATAAATACATTTCAAGTCATAACCACTAAACAAGAAGTATGCTTGTTAGTTCTGGATATTCACACTGAGGTAACTTATTGAGGTTATTGAGGTAACTTAAAGAATGGCAACAGGCTGCAAAGCATTTTTTTTTCTTCTTAATTCAATAGCTGTAGTAGTGGCAACAAATTTTGAAAGTTAGACTTGTTCACCCAAGATTACATTTTAAACTGCTCATCTAACTTTAAGGTGCTCATGTACAAGTTCACTCTTTTACTTTTGGGGTCTGCTAGAATAGGCTACATTGACATAAATTAAAGTTCAGAAAAAACTTCCTGGAGAAATTTGGGTTTCACAGGTGTACGTTGTGATTTTAATCCTGTCTGAATCTGCCATGTCTGTGAGCTACCGAAAACATTCCCATCTCTTTAATAAACACGGAGATGTTAGTCCCCTCTTAATCGGTAAATGAAAACACAGACTAAAAAAATTATAAGAAAAATATTCCCGTCTGAATAGAGCTAAATACTGTACATTGCTACAGAACCTTTTTTTTACTCCCCTGAAACCCTCTGTTTTAGTTCCTGTCTTTTTAAATCCTGTCTTTCCGAAAAAACCCAGTCTACTCCGATTGGTCTCTTATCCAATCTCTTAGACTTGGAGCATTTACTTACAGGTGTGAGCCTTGAAATATCCCATTCAAACAGCAACTTACAGTCTTGAATAGGCCTACTTACAGTCTTATCACTTTTGGCATGACAAGAGTCTAAACGAGTTCATCCGTCAAATCTTTATTAACCGACAGCAGCTTTTATATCTGGGTGGAGAGCGGAGCATTTGAGTCACACGCAGAATGCAATACTGACGGGAACAGCCCCCGTGGAGAACAGTGGCTAGATCTAAAACCATCAGATGACACACAGCTCATATCTCCATCGCTGTAAGTTACCGAAACCACACATGAAAAACCCACAACACACGGTAGAAACGCGATTGTGCAGCACAGAGCGGCTCTCTGGCACTGTATGATGTGACAAACAACTGTAGTCCAGTCTGGTTCAGTTCACACAGCGCGTTTTTTTCCAAGAATGCGGTTGTGGGTACTGAAAATTTACGGGTATGAGTTTGGTTATACAATGTTGTCGTCACTCCCTTAAATAACAGTATTTCTGTCATGACAACTCTCGGGAGATTGGTATGGTACTAGAGATTGGCATGGTAATGGATATGGCAATGTTAATGTATTTGATCTTGGCGGAATAGATCTGCTACGCTGCTGCTGCTGAGCAAGTACCGAGACTTGCTACTGCGAATACCTTTACAGACATTGCTGTAAGACATGCTACTGCTGCTGCACATGTAACATACATGAATTAACCCTGTAGCAGATCTATACAGGTGGAGCTGGGGAGAGGGTTTCTGAAAGCATAGTAAAACTGTAGTCAGACTGTAACAGCAAACTATGGCAAGTATTTGAATGCTTGAGCAGCAAGCTCATTGGCCGCTGATGCAACAGCAATGACATTTCAGTAGAAGCAAAGTATACTTTTGTTTTCCATTTCATCTTTACCCTACATGATTTAAGTGTTGATTTGTGGTTTCTGTTGGCTGGTGAGGCGAGTTGGGTGTGGAGGCAGAGACATTGTCCTTGCGCAGTGGCTTTAGGTGTGTACCTGCTGATAACAGTGGAGAATGTGCTTGTTTGACAGGGGAGGTGATAGGCCATGAAAATATTTGATCTGCCTCTCACATGATCAAGGCTGACATGGTCTTTTTGAAAGCGCAGCATTTTGTCAATTAGTTGATTGAATGTGGCCTTGTAGTGGAAAAATGTATAGTTCTTTCAAAGTGATCTCTCTGGGTGGGGTGACCCTAAAAACATACATGATCTACGCAACAACCGGTAGCTTGAAGTGTTTTGAATGCTTTGATGTTGGTCATAAACTGCACGCTTGCCTGCATAAAGAGTGAGTTGAAGGCATTGCTTTTAGGATTAGAGATTGGCGCTACATCTAAACTTGTACCTACTTCTGAGGTAAGAATGTCAGAAGTCTGTGTATCTGCATCTGTGAATATTCAATTAGATAATGAGGGGAAAACAACAATGACAGTTTCTGGCTTTAGGAATATTGCTGTGGCAACATTGAGTTATGGATTAAACACTGGATGTTGACAAATTTGATGCGTATGGAATGCACTCTGTACCAAGTACAAGTGGTAATCCACCAGGTGGTTTTAGTGGAAAGGGTGTGGTGAAAAAGGAGCAGTTGGAGTTGATCTGCAACTAAGTAAGAGTGGCATGGATGTAGCATTGTCAGATGAGACGGCATCTCTACATGACATGGATTCGTGTTCACAGGGAGATTCTGTCTAGTGTTGATATTATGAACTAAAGAGCTCTCACAAAATGATCCCTCTCTGTAAATGTTGGAAGAGATTAATGCTTTTCTAGACACATTTGGGAATCAAGTTAATGTGCCCCCCTCGACTGCATACAGTTTTTATATATTTAAAAGCTACATCGAGAATGGCAGCTTGAGGCTGTCTGCACTGGAAAAAAAGCTAACTTTTAAAAAAAAACATTTGTTCAGTAGCAAACGGGGCATCAGTTTACTGGCTACAGTTCATCCAGTGTAGACAAAATCACTAGTTATAATGGGTTCTATTGGCTTTTGATGCATCATGTTGCACTGCTTACATCCGGTGTAACATATAGCACATTCTACAGAGATATCCAAATGAGGACTGAGGTACTGCCAGAAATGTTGCCCACATTTAAAAACACAGCAGGCTTGTTCGAAATATTGTGAATAAGAATTTTTCTGACACATTGCTTTCTGACACAACTAGTCTCTCCCCTGTGAAGGCCCTCCCTTTACCTCTGTACAGATAAAATGTTGTCGGGATAATTCCGGTTCGTGTGGCTATGCAGACGCTACAAAAAATTCTGTATTATAAATTAAGACCAGACATTAAGACCAACTAGTTTGTTGAGGATTGATTTGTGGAGGACTACACACCTGCGCAAATATACTGTATATTAAAACGCGAATACCTATGGACTGAACACGTGATGCGCATGTGCGTGCCGTGTGCGTTTTCGCGGGTTTGCGTTTTTGAGGTTTGCGCAGAGATAACGGATAATCGTTTGCACCTTTGAACCTATTTCAGGGAGTGCATTCTCGAGACACCAGGCACTGTTTTGTGCGGATGGGCGGCCAGAGCGCGTTAAGAGTTTTTCTGTTAGAACAGTGTCGTGTTAGCGGTCGTATAATAATTGCACTCAACCGATTATTTTATCTGTGATTTAAGGGATGTCTTAAGCCTCGTTCACTATACCTCTATATCTTTGCATGATCTGAGCTCAGATCCATCGTCGAGAAACTTATATTTGAGGTATGGCCCACTCATGTCCTAGAGAGGCAGGCTCATCAGCATTCTCAGGGGGCTGCTGATAATATCATTTGCATGAGAGGATATAAGGTCTGGTCTCAGACACAACATATCCACATGCTTCTCTAGAAAATATACTCTCTTGACGTCACACTGTGTTCAAATTAAATGTGTGGCTGTTTTCATCAGTTTGTTTCATTTTTAAATAGGTGGTGTCTGATGCTGCAGGACAAGGCGTCACCATCACAGGGGACAAAGCCTTCAACAACTGGAACTGGCCCAATGCAGTCATCTTTGCAGCTACAATTATCACAACTATAGGTAAGGATCTGGTCCATTGAAGCAGTATCTTGGAGAAAGAATCAAAGGAAACATTGATTTTTATTTTTAGACAAAAAAATAAACAAAAAAATGCAGGTGAATTTTATGCTACTGTCATTAACACAAAAATAATTTATAATAATGAGGAGTTATTATTATTATTTCCCATGATTCAGAGCCATTCTGGTATATCCCTCTATCCTAAGGGTACCCATAAGGGTACAGTGTTTTTGTTTGTTTGCATAATACTCAGAGAAACACTTGTAAGCCCAGATAACATGTGTTTAGACTGTGTAAATTGAACATCAAAAAATGAGATGAATGGCATTCACTATAAACTGCAATCCATTTTCACCCTAAAAAAATGTATTTCTGCAGGTTATGGAAATATTGCGCCAAAAACGCCTCCAGGGAGGGTTTTCTGTATATTTTATGGTCTTTTTGGAGTGCCGCTGTGTTTCACCTGGATCAGTGAACTTGGAAAGTTTTTTGGTGGAAGAGCTAAACACCTTGGGAAATATCTTACTAAGAAAGGAGTAACATTGGTAAGGAGCAAACACACACAGGCATTGTATTGTAAAAATGATTATCACTATAATAAATAACTATAACAAAAATAGCTATGAGAACTTCTAACTGCATTTTGAAAATCTATTTTTGTGTTATAAGGTTGTTGTTGTTGTTTTTTTGGCTTCTCAAAGCGGAAAACACAGTTCACCTGCACAGCTGTCTTTCTGTTATGGGGTGTGCTGGTCCATTTGCTGATTCCTCCATTTGTATTCATGTCTCAAGAAGGCTGGACCTATATCGAGGGCTTGTATTTTTCTTTTGTCACTTTGACAACTATTGGTTTCGGTGATCTTGTAGCAGGTGGGTGTCTTGGTTGTTAAAACTGCTTGTTATCATAGATCACTTGAGAAAATTAATAGTGACTTAAGTTGGCTTTATCTATCTATCTATCTATCTATCTATCTAGAAACATGCTAGCAAGGGTTAAGAACCCCTGCTGTAGTGAGATCCAGTTGTATTTATATATTTATACATACATACATACATACATACATACATACATACATACATACAAAAATAAAAAAATAAAAAATACATACATACATACATACATACATACATACATACATACATTAAATATAAATCAGGGATGGCAACTTCTGTCCTGGATCACTAGAAAGGATCACTAGTTTTTATCAGGATTGGAGCTAAACTATGCAGAACAGTGGCTGTCCAGGACAGAAGTTGCCTATCCCTGATTTATATACTTTATGTAGGCTATTTAAAATTACATTAATCTCATAATATTATGCAATTGTTGTGTAAATACATTTATGCCACCTTTGAGCAAGTCAGGATGTCATATGCAGCTTCTATGGCACCTTGGTAATGTACAGATGGCTTTTGTTGATGTTGATCAAAATGTAATAGGTAAAAGACTATAGTATTCTGATTGATTTGGATTAATTGATTAAATTTGAATATTTTACAAAAACAACACAGATACAAGGTAGTTATAAAAATTGCACTTACAGAGATAAAAAATGAATGCGGTGACCAGGAAGGGACATGTTCGGTTCACCTAGATTTGTCGTGGCCACGACATACAGAAGTAACTCTTGAGAACGTGTTAAGTCATGGCCACAAGATGATTTTGTTGTGGTAACGACATCCTTATGTCGTGGCCATGCGATGTGAAGTCATAGCCTCCTGTGTCAACCTGTGACCATAGCAACCTGGGATTATCAGAAATTGATATTAAGAAATGAATAGATTATTTTGAATTTAGAATGACAAAGAACAGAGTTAAGATATATTACCATATTGTTCCAATGACAATGTTTTTTTGTTGTAAAATACATCTGAAAAAATGGGGTCATCTTATATAATATATCTTTATATAAATCTTAAGATTAAATTGCTAAATATTAATAAGGCATTCACATTCACGCATTCAGTAGATATACAAAATAATTTAAAGGCTAATATAACTAGTCTGTAAGTTACAAATTAAAAGAAATAGTTGACTCAAGAATAAAACTCAAGTATACACAATGATATTTTGTACCAAACAAATATGACTTTATTTTCAGTGGGACACAAAACGCACAGTAGGACATTAAGAGACTGATAGTCTTGGTCACCATTAACTATCATTGCATCTTTTTATATTAAATAAATTAATAATGATTGAGATTGAATGCTCTCTCTCCTTTTGTGTTCCAGAACACAAAAAAGTGTGTGTGTGTTTTTAACTATACATCTCACAGTAGACACTTTATAAAGAAATCTTACCTTTTAACATAAAGGACAGAGAAATGTAGCAGATTAATAGCTTTTCTTTATGAAGTAAGTAAAGGTCTTTGCTCTTGCAATATTCAGTTATGTCCCTTTGTTATATTTGTATACATCCAGTTCGGATATGCAAAATATGAAGGTGTTATTGGAGCAAAACAACTGAGCACCTGTGACTGGTCAATTTGCAGTTGTAGAGAACAGCCACACGTGTATCAGTCAATTTGAAGTAACACAGAAAATGTTCTTGTTGTTAGTATTTGACCTCCAGCGATGGACATATGGAACCGCGATTTGAATATGAAGTTGTTTGCGGAAAAGACGTGCATGTTTCAGGCGCTGATGAAAGTTTGCCATGTAGATCTGGCTGCGTGTGCTGGAAGAGAAGACAACGTAGGAGACGAGGCAGATGTGCTGGAGTCTTAGTGAAACTTAAGAAATTGAGGAACCTGTCCAGTGGAGTAAGATCAGCGATGGAGTCATGGGTTTGCTATCCGATACCCATTTTCCCTGTCACCAATGTCTTGGACAATGTTGAGAGGGACCAAACATGGTTCACTCAAATCTCTGTTCTGTGAGATGAATTGGGTCAATAGAGCTAAGTGTCATTTCTTCTAATCAGCTTGAGTTGACTACAGTGCAAATGGACTTGATAAATGCACGTTCAGTTAACAAAACATTTATTTTAAATGGCTTTTATGTAACATATGGATTGGACTTTCTTTTTACTACTGAGACTTGGTGCTGATATGAGCTCTCTTGCTGAACTCTTACCCCCTAGGTGTAATTTAAGTACCTTGAGGACTACTTGTCGAGGTGGAGGTTTGGCGGCAATTTTTAATAATATGATTAAGTGCAAATTGTTGCCTGTTGAAAGTTTCAAAAGTTTTGAAGTTTAATTAATGAAGATTGACCTGCCCTTACCAGTGCTTTTTACCCTGATATATACTGTAGGCCTCCTAGATGCAACAAAATATTTCTTGATGATTTTTAGGAGTTATCTGTGGTTGTTCCATCTGCTGATAGGATTTTGATTCTGGGTGATTTAATATACATGTTTATTGTCCTTGTAAGCCTATGACCCAAGAATTTTTAGAATTTGGTTGATTCTTTAAATTTAATCTCATTGGGTGTCATTCATGAAACATTCGTAAATATACGAGTAAATATGCGAGTGATTTGCGCGTAAAGAGACCTTCCCGAAAACTCTTCTCCTGATTCACAAATACTTCGTAAACGTCAGATGTGATAGTGAAATGTGTGTGTGTGTGTGTTAATGAATTCCAATCAGTCGTAAATGGGACGCGCGTGCACGTTCATTCTCAATTACCATAAATCCCGCCCATTAAATCCGACTGACAACTATATATGGGCATCATATTATGACATGAATGCGAATGAAAAAAAAATTCTCAGATGCAGAAATTGAAGTTTTATTATCAGAAGTTCATTCAAAACGCCACATTTATTTTCAAGCGTACATAGTGGCGTATCGGGTCCTAAAAAAAAGGAAGCTTGGCAGCATATTACAGATGCAGTTAATGGAGTTTCATCTGTTAATCGAACATTCCCAGAAGTGAGAAGAAAATGGTTCGACATTAAGCTTGAGAGCAAAAAACTAATTAGTTCACTTCGGAAAAATAGTATTCAAACTGGAGGACCACCATCCCAGATGCTATTACTGGCTCTCATAATAAGAAAAAACGTATGTAATTACTATATATAATATTTTTTCAAAATGCTGTGCAAATATGTACCCGATTAAGGTGAATTAAAATGCAGCCTTATTAATGAGCAAAACGTTCGGGTGTTAAGCGCACTATTTAGGCCTACGCGTGGCTGGGAGCAGGTGTAGATTTCTTGTGTACCAACTAACATTTGGAAAATCCGAACATTTTAATGAATCCGAAAATTTACGCCAGAACCACTTTACACACGATTTAGACAAAAATTCGTTCTGCTCGTGTTTCATGAATGAGACCCAATGTGTCTTTGGACCAACACATAATCATGGTCATATGCTTGATTTTGTGTTTTCTTTGAAAACATTTGGGTTGGGGAAACAGCTATTTTGGACCATATGTTTATTAGGTTCAATTTGACTTTAAGAAATGTATTACCAACCCGATCTCATGGCAATTCGTACATATTTTACGAGGTGGCTAATTTGTACGAATTCATACGACCTCACTCATACAAATTCGTATGATTTTTGCTAAATCGTATACATATTTTACGAGTTGCCCAATTCATATGAATCTGCACGAATTACCTACCCCTGACCCTGCCCCTAAACCTACCCATCACTAGGGGTTAGACAAATCATATGAATTCGCATTCGTAATGCTGCTAGATTTTCATATTTTTTTGCAAATGTTACCACAAAATGTAAATAACCCAGGCATTGTTTGCAAATTGCTACCATATAAGGTACTGAGTCCATCCATCTTCTCTTCCCTGTGCAAGGATTTGTAAGTTTTTAAAAGTTTTTCATTAACAAGGTTGATCTTTTAAGGTTGAATATTTCGCCAGAAGGGAACGTTGTAGTTGAAGCAATGAAACCCTCACATTGCTTGCGTAAATTTGAATTCATTTCCTGAGCTCAGTTGAAAGACATATTGCTTTTAAAGCCGACTACCTCACTCTATGAAGTTCTTTCTTCGTGACTACTTAAGGGGGTCGTTGACATTATTAGTCCTAGTATTTTATCGATTATTAATATCCTTTTATTTTATGGCACTGTGCCATCATATGGGAAGCATGACATTGAACCAATTTACAGAAGACGATCCTGGATCCACAGGTTTTTAAAAATGTCAGGCCTATTTCAAAACTTCCTTTTATAAATAAAATCTTAGAGAAAGACGTTAAAGTTTTTTTATTACTGGAAATAATGTTATGGATATTTTAGGACTAAACATAGCACAGAGTCAGCTTTATTGAAGGTTGCTAATAATATTTTGTATTGCCTCCGGGAAAGGTGTTGCTTTAATGTTGAGCAACAACATGATACAATAGATCGTTTTTTTAATAGAAAGCCTCAGATATTATGTAGATATTATGTAGGTATCAAGGGTGTGGCCCTTGAATGGTTCTCTTCTTATCTGCAGGACAGGACATGCTCAGTTAAGATTGGAAACTGTTTCTGCATCAGCAACTATCTCTTGGGTGCTCCCAACTCTGTTCCCTTTATATATGCTGCCCCTGAGGGTCAATCTTTAGAAAATATAAAATTATTTATATGCAATTGTACTTTCCTTTAGAGTTTGATGACTGTATATCCTTTGTTCATTTTCATAAGTGTTTGACTTGGGTGAAGGGGTGTTTGCAAGTCATTACATCCTACAACTAAATTAGGATAAGACTGAGTTTATTATGTTTGGGAATAAACAGCCTGAGAAAGGACTGACTGAAAGTTATGGACTGTCTAGTAAAATGTAGATTTATGTAATGAACAGAGTCTTGAAAAGTTGAGAAAATTGTCTACTGAAACATATTCTTTCAACCAAGGATTTGGAGACTGTTGTTGTGCATGCTTTCATTTCCACATGGCTGGATTATTGTAATGCTTTATACTTGGGCATAAGTGAAGCCTTGGTGGCACATCTGTAAAATACAATACAAGGTGTTAATGTTTGTTTACAAAGCACTGCATGATCAGGCTCCAAAGTATATAAAAGATATATCAGACTCTTACGTTCCTCTCAGAGTATTTGTTTAACTGTCCCATGATCGCATTTGAGGTGTAGTGGAGATCACACCTTTACTGTTGCAGCTCCTGCACTTTGGAATGAACTGCCCTTCTCTATAAAATCCTCAAGTATGGACACTTTCAAAAGTGATCTAATGACTGACTTATTTCGTCTGGCTTTTGGCCCTTGATTAGGTCTGATAAATGTGAGTGATTTGCTGTATGATGGATGACTTGATTGTGATTTATTGTTTTATGTTTGTAATATTTATGCTATTTATGTATATCACTTAGTTTGGTCCATTCTTATGATTTTGAAAGAGTTTAATAAATAAAATTTGAGCTGAGTTGAGTTGATGTGCACAACTTTCATTGAATAAATTTACATACTGATTTGGGGATGCGCAAAAATTTTCCATTACTTAACATTTTTCATACAGGTGTGTGAATGTTTTGCACCATATTCACTGCAGCAACTGTAGCAAAAAAGTGAGTCTATGGGTTTCATAATTTGAGATTCATAAAATAGAATTTGTCCACCTGCAATTAAGAATTTAATTAGAATAACTGTTGTGTTGTATTTGTGGGAGAGAGAAAGAGAGAAAAAACTGTTTGCGTAACTTTGCAACTCCTAAAATTATCTGTGACTTCAAATTTACTGATACACGTGGTATTCTCTACAACTACAAATTCCACTGTCTCAGGGGCTCAGTTTTTTTGTTCCAGTAAAAGAATATGGTAGTAGTCAGCAAAAGCAGAGAGGTTGGTGTGTGAACTTTAATCACTGTTACATACAGGAAAATCCCTTACCATTCAGTGCTCTGTGATGTCTCCGTTGAGGAGTTCCTCCCTAATGTAAAAAGATTATACATCAATTACGTAGTGAAACCATACTTAAAAGTGGGTCATTCATGATAAAGTCATGATATTACTTTTTTTAAAAGATCTCATTAATAACATTGGATATAAGCAAATACTAATATTATTAAGCAATCTCACAGCCTTGCACGTGAGCAAGAGCATATGAGAAAGGCATGTAACTGCTTTTATCCAGTCGAACTGACCTTATTTTCATACAGTTTAGAAAATATGAAAGTTATGAAGTTATAAGTTTATTGAAGTTGACAATTTACATAACTAAAACAGTTCCAACAGATACCTCATCGTTTACCTGCAGCGACTGGTGCGCAAACATGACAATGTTACAAACTTATGAATCAGAAAATTATTAAATGCTTTAAATTTAAAACATTTCAACTCTAAAATGACATTTTACATTAAATGTGTAAAAATGACAATTTAAAGATATAATTAAGCAATAAAATAAAATAAATTTACCTCAGCGTACAGAAACAGCTGACCGTTACGATTCAGATGATGTGCCTGCGCAGAAGAGTCCAATATCTTCAAGTTTCAACATAAATTAGAAATGTTAGAAAAAAACATTACCATGTAGCAACATGTTAAGTCATGCTAGAAACATGTTAGCAATGTCTTAAAACATGTTAGCAGCATGTTAAATCATGCAAACAGTGATAGCAATGTGCTAAACAAGCTAATGACTATATTAAATGTTAACAATGCTAGCTGCATGTTTTTTTACTGCATCTATATAACCATCACATTTTAAACTTTAAACTTTCAGAAAAGCGTTTGTCAAGCCAACATCAAAGTTTGTCCTTACAAACTTTATTTCTATAGTTCTTGAGATATGCACAAATAGCCATATTATGCTGTGTATCCAAGGTACCATTTTTTCATAAAAGGAAGTATATACACTCACCGGCCACTTTATTAGGTACCCCATGCTAGTAACGGGTTGGACCCCCTTTTGCCTTCAGAACTGCCTCAATTCTTCGTGGCATAGATTCAACAAGGTGCTGGAAGCATTCCTCAGGGAGTTTGGTCCATATTGACATGATGGCATCACACAGTTGCCGCAGATTTGTCGGCTGCACATCCATGATGCGAATCTCCCGTTCCACCACATCCCAAAGATGCTCTATTGGGTTGAGATCTGGTGACTGTGGGGGCCATTTTAGTACAGTGAACTCATTGTCATGTTCAAGAAACCAATTTGAAATGATTAGAGCTTTGTGACATGGTGGAAGTAGCCATCAGAGGATGGGTACATGGTGGCCATAAAGGGATGGACATGGTCAGAAACAATGCTCAGGTAGGCCGTGGCATTTAAACGATGCCCAATTGGCACTAAGGGGCCTAAAGTGTGCCAGGAAAACATCCCCCACACCATTACACCACCACCACCAGCCTGCACAGTGGTAACAAGGCATGATGGTTCCATGTTCTCATTCTGTTTACGCCAAATTCTGACTCTAACATCTGAATGTCTCAACAGAAATCGAGACTCATCAGACCAGGCAACATTTTTCCAGTCTTCAACTGTTCAATTTTGGTGAGCTCTTGCAAATTGTAGCCTCTTTTTCCTATTTGTAGTGGAGATGAGTGGTACCCGGTGGAGTCTTCTGCTGTTGTAGCCCATCCGCCTCAAGGTTGTGCGTGTTGTGGCTTCACAAATGCTTTGCTGCATACCTCGGTTGTAACGAGTGGTTATTTCAGTCACTGTTGCCCTTCTATCAGCTCGAACCAGTCTGGCCATTCTCCTCTGACCTCTGGCATCAACAAGGCATTTCCGCCCACAGAACTGCCGCTCACTGGATGTTTTTTCTTTTTCGGACCATTCTCTGTAAACCCTAGAGATGGTTGTGCGTGAAAATCCCAGTAGATTAGCAGTTTCTGAAATACTCAGACCAGCCCTTCTGGCACCAACAATCATGCCACGTTCAAAGTCACTCAAATCAACTTTCTTCCCCATACTGATGCTCGGTTTGAACTGCAGGAGATTGTCTTGACCATGTCTACATGCCTAAATGCACTGAGTTGCCGCCATGTGATTGGCTGCTTAGAAATTAAGTGTTAACGAGCAGTTGGACAGGTGTACCTAATAAAGTGGCCGGTGAGTGTATATATATATATATATATATATATATATATACAGTATATATATATATTACACACACACACACACAGACACACAGTATATACACATACAGTAGTCAACATTTGAAGTGGATCAAAAACGTTCATCAAAGTTGTCTTAAGTCAAGAACGGGTATTGTTCAACTTTGATGAAAGGTTTTGATCCACTTCAAATGTTGACTACTGTATATATATATATATGTCCATTGGTCACGCCTTCATTTTGCAATTTTTAGAATTGCATCCTTCTCATGGGCATTTAACAATTTTTTACTTCATTTTTTTTTGGCCCACTTTACCTTTAAAAGAAAACCTGCTTATGTACACCTGAATATAAGGTGTTTTTCACTTCTAGCCTTCCTTTACAATAATTTGTCACTTATAAATACTAAATGAATAGTAGTTATTAAGATTGATGTGGTTTGGAATTGGTTAAAAAATATGACCCCTGCTGGCAAAATGAGTCGGAATGAGCACATTTTCAAAAATGTGTTGTTGTTTTATTCATTTAAAAAACCTTCAAAATGATGTATGATTTGTTGGAATCATAAAAATGACTGAGTTACACCTGTTTGAAGTTGATAGTCAGCAAAGTCTTGAGAAAAGTTTTGAGAAAAATCAAGTTAGTTTACTGAAGGTTCCAAAACAAAATCACCTATCATACCTTAAAATCCCTGGTAATAACACCAAGTCAAAACCAATTATCTATAGGAAATATATACTATATACTGCGCTTTAAAATGATGCCAAACTTGTGCTGAGAGTGCCAGTCGTCAAGAAGCGAGCAGAGAAAAACTGTATTTTTCATGGACTAAGGAAAGGTACTCCTCTCAGAAAACGAACAAAAAGATACTTTTAGATGTTGAATCGCTATTTGGAGCATTGGGATCGCTAGAGGACGGCTTAATGAACTAATTTTTGTGAAAACCATTGTAATTTGCCCGTGCGCATTCCGAGTCGTTTTGCCAGCACGGGGCGCATATCAAAATTCCAACATTTAAACTAAAGGAAATCACTTCAATGTTTTTTTGTCTATGTTCAATTTTGCAAACTTGTTTCTCTTTATCTGTATTTTGTTTAGGTGTTGATCCCAATACTGACTACCCTACTCTCTATCGCTACTTTGTGGAGGTGTGGATATATCTTGGTCTGGCATGGCTCTCCCTTTTCTTCAATTGGAAGGTGCGCATGGTTGTGGAGGCACACAAAGCTCTAAAGAAGCGCCGTAAAAGGCGCAAACTTTCTCTGGATGAGTTAAAGTGCATCAAAAAAAGTCACAAGACCCTACACCTGCCACCTACCCCTAATGAAGTCAACATCTTCAGCTTCCTGTCCAAGAAAAAAGAAGATTACAATGACTTAATCAAGCAGATAGGTGTCGAGAAGGAAGGAGAAGATCAACGTGTCAGCTCCATCACTGGTAGCAGGAATAAAGCACCAAACCGCTCAAAGAGCTGCTATGATTCTCTTTCAGTAAAAGGAAATTCCATCCTCAGTCTAGACCGCTCCCCTCGACAGAAGCGCCGCTTTAGCTTCAGTGATAGAGTTGCTGTAGCCCTCTCAAAATCCAAGGGTTACCTTCTTAACAAAGAGGAATGTCTTCTCATGAATGAAATGCATGGGGGAGGAGGGATAGACACTGACCTAGACTGTATGAGAATATATGAGAATCAATTGGACAAGGAGGCAGGAGAGAACCAAGAAGGTCTTGAACCTGCAGGCTGCAGTAATGGCCGGATCACGTTGGACTCCAAAGTTAACCAGATCCTCATGTTTCCCAATGCTAACATCACCTTCATTGATGAGGAGAATTTGCTAAACAACAACCTGGAGGATGATGATGATAATGACTTTCTGAAATCTGTCTCATCCGAAGCTGAGAATTTAGGCATAGTGGAACAGGGCTCAGAATCTGAGACCTCTGTATTCACCACAGATGGGTCGGACCATGACCACTTCTATGAGCAGCTAGCGGAAGAGTATTCCAAAGAGGACAATACTGACATTTGATCCTGTCTCATAATAGGATTTGGTCTTCTATCTTAAACCTTAGTAAAGGATTTTTTTTTTTTTTTTTATGAACTTGAATTGGTGTAAACTATAAAAATGGAAGTTATTTCTCACAACCCATTTCCATCTGTCTTCTAATGTGAGCAGACAAGCTTAATGTGATTTTACTAATTATTATTTCTGTTGTTTTTTAAGGATTTTGCTAGTGGAACAACAGACTTAAGTCTTACTTTGAACTGACATTAAAATTAAAAAACAATTATATAAATGAACAAACATGGGCAGCTGTTGGCATAGACTTAGATATGTATATCAATAGCTGACTTTTGCATTGGCTCTAGACTTGATTAGGTTTTTATTTATTGTATAGCAAATAAATAAAATTAGACAATTTAGGTTTCTACCTAAATTGTCTGGCCTGCAGGGGTCTCAGATTCATTGTGAACCAGTTCACTGACAATATAGATTATTGATAGTAAGATAATATAGATTAAGATGTTTGCATGTTTTTTCACCATATTGGTGATTTATTTTTAAGATGGAAAGAAAAAAAGCTTAATCCTTATTGGATGTTAAACCAAATATTTTATTGTCTTCCATTTTAGCCTGAAATATTGATTTTGGGTAACCATATTGTCCTGTTGTTTTAACTTGGGATTTATTTAAAATGGTATGTCATAATTTTACTTTTACTTTTTTTTTTTTATTCCAAGTCTTTTGTTTATGCAGACAGACATTGTTTTAATGTTCCTGAAATGTGTTGTTAACTCCTATCCAAAGATAATCACAATATTTATGGTTTTCTGAACTGTTAATACTGTCAATACAATCAGATGAGCCACACTAAAATACTCTATCGGCCTCCCTCAATGTGTCACTGTCAAGTATGATTGAATCAGTCAACATTAGAAATGAGAAACCAATTGTTATTACAGTGTTAGTTTTACTAACATAACCACCGTTTTGGTGTCTGACTCATTTGTTGACATGCTAGTTCTGTGTTGATATGTAACCAGCATACTGACAAAATAACCATTACAATACACTAAGCAAAAAAGAAAGATCCTGGTTGTGATTCCCTCTGCTGAGCTCTAGCCATGTGTGTGTTCTCACACTGTCATGCTACTGAGTGCCCCTGGTGTGGAGAGCTGCATCCTGAGTCTGTTTCCTGTTTGTAGTTGGAATTGTTGTTTGTATTTCAAGTGTGTTCTAGGAGCGATCTCTCTTAATCTCCTTTTGGCTTTCTTTAAAAAGGTTTTTTTTTTTTTTTTTTACTTCCCGTATGCATTGAAATATGCATTCTACTGTATGTCTTCTAATATTCAGTGCTGTGTATATCATGTAAGTCCATTTTGCACCAATTTGTGTTTCTTCTAATGAGGCCCTTTAATGTTGTCTTTTATGGTGTTATCAAACTTTTGTTATAGGCCCACCCCTGTTTCCCCAGCTACACTTTAACCAGAGCTCTCTTTCATTCTCAATGTGCAGTCTCTCATTTGAGAGAACAGTGTGTTTGCTATGTAAACATTGAAAAAGGTCTATCAGTAACCATCACTGTTGGTCTCCTGTAGTCTCGGTTTAATTAGCTATGAGCTAAATGGCATGAATAGACGACCAGAATTGACATCACTGACCAAGGTTAACTAACCTGAGGTTAACCTGTCAAGTCGTGGTATTGGTTTTTGTTCATGCAAATGTTCGCCCCATTCTTTCACAGAAAAGGTACTTCTACTCTCCAAGTGATGTAAAGGTTAAAGTGCTTTGGATTTCTTTTCTTTTTTTTTTTCACGTTATGTTTTGAATTTCCTGTACTTTGTAATGCTATATTTCCATATTTTAATTGTTCCCTGGTGGTGCTACTTTACTGTTTAGATGATCTCTGTATGGATTTGAATGTTGGACTGAATGAGAATTTTTCATTTGAAATAAACAGATGTCTGCCTTGTTCTTTTTCCCTCTCTCATCTTTGAGCAATGGTTTAAGGAAGACACTTGGACTTATTTGAAGCAAAATTTCTTTGAAAGGAAATGTGAGAAAACGCATAACATTTTTGTGTATTTTCATGAATTATACGCCAGCCTAAATTGAAAAATCCATTTGTTTGTTTTGCTGACATTGTTCAGTGGATATAAAACATCTACACACCCCTGTTAAAACTATGAAAGCCTGTTTCTGCCACAGAATAAAAAAGGTAATTGCGTCTTTTTATCTAACAATTTTGACTTTTTATCCCAGAATTGCATGATATAAATTTGCAATTGCGAATTATAAAGTCCAATTCTGAGGGAAAAAAAGACTTATCGACTTTTTATAATTGTGTCTCATAATTCTGAGAAAAAAAGTCAGAATTGCGAGGTAAACTCGAAATATAAATAATTATTCAGTGTACCCCCATAGACGGAGCGAATTAAGAGATCATGTTTGTTCGAGAAGCCAACATATTGTTATAGGCTACTATTTAAAATGATTAATTGTATTCCTCCTCCTCCTAAGACTACGTTTTTGACTGCTACTCCTAGAGCTTTAATACAAGCACCAAACTGTGCTCTGACTGACAGGCGCAGACAAAGAGCCGATGGAACCGGGCGACTCCGAAGGCTTTCAGAGGCCGCAACGGAGCTGCAGCGATGATCCTGGACATAAGTATTTTATTAATAATCCACATAGAGAAAGATGAAGGCAAAGCAACAACCGTTAAACAACAATCAGACCGGACAATTAAGAACAGAAACACAGAAACTTGAATACAAAAGACAGACCAAGTTATTTAAAATCACACAGCTAAACAGAATGACAAATCAAATCAGTAACAATAGGTTACTATCGTAACCCCGGTTCTCTGAAACATCGAGTGGAGAGATCCACCTATGGGAAGGGCATCCGTACCTGATCTCTGCAGAAGCATCCAATTGCACCAAGTCTGGCTAGACAGACAGAAGCGCGCAGCCAATGCCCGGTAAGGCCCCACCCCCTACCTGAGGGCATATAACGCCTGCAAGCGCTGCTATTCTCCAGTAAGTATATTCGCTTCTCGTGCGGCAAGCGGGGCAAAGCTGGTGGATCTCTCCACTCGATGTTTCAGAGAACCGGGGTTACGATAGTAACCTATTGTTCTCTTTCATCATCTCGTGTTCGAGATCCACCTATGGGAGAGACATGGACAGCTCCCCGATTGCCCAATACACTCACAGTGAGGTTCTGAAAGCCAGAAAGGACGGTCGCCCCAGGGAGGCGGTGCCTGACACGTCCCATAATCATGAACCTGCAAACCAGACGCACACACATAACTGCTGTGCACATGCAGGACATGAAACATGTAAGTGGCACACACATGATAATAATCCCAGCAACACGAATGTGCATATATACACCCAGAAGTGCTTGGTGACAGGAATGTGCATGGCCAGCCGGCCCATTCACTCCTTATTTGTACTTCCAACGAGGTTGCAGGGAAGGGCTAAGAAGACCCCACCCCTAAAACCGAATGTGCTACCGAGGTACTGGTGACATCCAGCCGGTAGTAACGCACAAAGGTATGAGGAGAAGCCCAACTGGCAGCGGAGCAGATGTCCTGCAGTGACACTCCCCTAAACAAAGCCCAAGAGGCGGCTAAGCCCCTCGTGGAATGAGCTCTGATGTCCCCTGGGGGCTGCACTACCTTTGATTCATATGCCAAAGCTATAGCATTCAAAAGCCAATGTGAGAGGCGGTGCTTAGATATGGGATTCCCTCTATGAGGGGGCGCCCATGAAATAAAGAGCTGGTCGCTCCTCCTGAAAGCACTGGTCCTGGTCATATATGTCTGTAAACCACGGACGGGACACAGAGCATTTAGCCTCTGATCCTCCGGGGAGGAAAAAGGAGGAGGGTGAAAAGCGAACAGCTCCAACACCTCCGAAGTGAACGCAGGGAAGCATTTAGGCATGAAGGCCGGATTAGGCTTAAGGGAAACCTTATCTCCACTAAGAGAGAATATAGTCCACGAGGGGTGAACCGAGAGTGCATGTAGCTCACTGACATGTTTGGCTGATGCCAAAGCCAAGAGCAAAGCTGTCTTAAAGGACAGCAGCTTTAGGGAAATACTTCCCAGAGGCTCAAAAGGATATTGAGACAAAGCCTCCAGCACCATGGAGAGGTCCCACTCAGGAACAGTTCTCCTGACGACTGGCAAAGAGCGACGGGCACCCTTCATAAATCTGCGGATTAGCGGATGCTGCCTGACTGTTGAGCCCTCAAAACCCACATGGCAGGCCGAAATCGCAGCCAGGTAGACCTTAATAGTGGAAAAAGACCTCCCTTTTTCCATGAGGTCTTGAAGGAAACACAAAATATCAAGAACTGAACACTGATAAGATGTGAGACCACGCCCATCACACCACCCTTCGAACACTTGCCACTTACAGCCATATAAGGACCGAGTAGAAACGGCCCTGGCATTCTGTATAGTGGCAATCACACGCGGCGAAAGCCCCAGTGCGCTTAGGTTCGTCCTCTCATGGGCCAGGCCCAGAGAGCCACCCTGTCTGGGTGTGGGTGATAAATCTCCCCGTTCGCTTGGGACAATCGTGCGAGGGGGGAGGCGCCACGGCTCGGCATATAACAGAGGGATTATCTCCGCCAGCCACGGTGCTTTGGGCCACCTGGGTGCTATCAGAATGAGAGACAGGCCCTGCTCTCTCACCCTGGCCAGTGTGGGAATTATCAGGCACAGGGGAGGAAAAGCATACAGCAGCACTTTGGGCCATGGGTGGGCCAGTGCATCCACCCCACATCCTTTAGCGAGAAGAACATAGGACAGGGATGGGCAACTTCGGTCTTGGAGGGCCACTGTCCTACAGAGTTTAGCTTCAACCCTGATCAAACACACCTGAACAAGCTAATCAAGGTCTTCAGGATTACTAGAAAGTTACAGGCAGGTGATTTTTTCAGGGTTGGAGCTAAACTCTGCAGGACAGTGGCCCTCCAGGACCGATGTTGCCCATCCCTGACATAGGACAATGGTAGTTTTCGCGCGAGGCGAATAGATCTACGGTTTGCCTGTCCGAATCTCATCCATAACAT